CTAATGCAGCCCTGCATGTTTATATAACATATGTACTTGAGGTGCAAATTCAGCTTAGTCTGACATGAAACACACAAAGCCAGGGTAGCAGGAGGCTGGCCAGACACTCACTCCTCAGCAACAGGCTGAAACTGGAGTACAAAGATCTCATGGCCAGCTCCTCCAGAGGCAGGACCAGCTCTGCCTCCGAGCCGATGGCCTTCACCTCTGCTGGCAGCGGGATGGACACGTCGCCCAGGCTGACGGACAGCAGCTTCGCATCAAGCACCTGCATGGACGACCCACACCTGGGGAAGGACAGGGGGGACAGGAACGTACGTACAGGCAGTGGTGGGAGTAATGTGGCCATCTTATAGCAGGCAGGCTTATTATGCTCTATTAATCACTGACTGGGTCAGCCCATTTCCCATTGGTTCCTTTGCTAGGTAAACGATGCAGTGATGCATCGGTAACTGTTAGTCATCCAGGTTTAGAAGTGAATCAATGCCAGGATTCTCCCATCATTACACACAAACAAGGACAAGATACACCCAAAAATCATCAGTGGCCTCGAGGTGTGCTCACTTTAGCCTGAGTTCTTAATTGCTTTACTGAACTGTGTGTAGAGAACAACTGAACGTTAATCAGGCATCGGCGAAGAAGCCACAGGACCCCGGACACCACAGACCGGAGCCTTCCCCCCCAGCAGTGGAGTCCCGCGTGTCGTACCCGCTGCAGCCGATGACCTTGTTATACAGGTAAGATGGAAGGCCCTTCAGGTGGATGTTGTTGTCGACGAAGACAAACTGCAGCTCCCGGGAGCGTCCTAGATCTGACAGAGATAGAGCATCATAAGTCACTGGAGGGGCCGTGCTGGCGGCTGGGCGGGCAGGCTGGACGGACGAATGCCTCGATCTGTCACACGCCTTCCTCACACACACACACTTACACGTGCAGAGACGCGGTAATGAGCAGGGAATGTAAGGCCAGGGCCGGACAGCGGCCTGGACACACAGGGCACCTCCAACATGAGGCCAGGAGGCCGTCAACACTCCGCACGCACACACCCCTCCGTCTCTCACCTCTCGAGGGGTCGCTGTGTCCTGTGAGAGCGCAACCAGCGCGTATGAGTACAAAGCACACTCAGGCTCATCAGCCAGCTGCTCCTGCCCAACACACACACACACACACACACACACACACACACGATTGCTCTCAGACGGCGGCAGGTCCCAGCCAACTGAATGTAACAGTGGCAGAAACTCCCGCTCCTCCAGAATACCCACAATGCCGCTGGGCAGAGAGAGTGCGGAGCAGCCGGTCAAGCGTGAAAGTCGGACTCAGTGTCAGAGTCCGCTCTCCCCCTGGCTGTGCCCATTTTAAATCGGGACACCGCGTGGTGTCCTGAGCAAGCCGAACTCCCACATCGAAAGCTCGCTGCTTCCCACCCCCACGGCTTGAGCTGACACAGACCCTACTCAAAGACTCCAACAACTCTGGAACAGGTGTACCAATTCTTAGTGTGGCTTCAACAGGCGCCCCCTACTGGTCTGGCTGGCATCATGAATAACGTGTAGCTGCTTCTTGCCTTAGCATTGCATACTATTTTCAAGTCAGACTGCAGGCTCGCTCCACACAGAACTTCCCACTTGGCGACTTGCTGACCCAGGATCTGCTATTCAGATGTTAAGCAGCTGCAATAACAGGCCAACGGCCAAACACTGTCCGGCCCACCGAAGAACACCTACCTCAGCTCCACCATTTTCTTAGAAGCCCCTATATTTGCAAAATTAGGTCATGAAGTTTGGCCATTACCCGGCCTGCAGGAATGTGACACCAGCACTCACCATACCACGCTCACTGCCGAAAGGTTTACTACTATTTTTTATAAGTGGACGCTGAAAGGAAGCACATTAAACATCAGCGTCACAGTAAACACTAAATAAGAGCTTTACACTGAATAGATGGAAGGTTCCGTTAATTCAGCCGTATTTAAACAATCACTCTTTTAAGCCGGCCACAGTAGATCCTGTACTTCGATAAAAGAATAATGAAATACATACACAACAAAACAGAATAAAAAAACATTTCAGAGGAAAGAAAACAGAATGTGTACCAGCTACATTCAGGCAGTATTAGCAGCTTTTGTGAGTGTGTGTTTGCTGAGATTTCGGTTGTTTGCTCTAGCCTTGACCGGCCTGCTTGTCTTGCAGTGTTTTATTGATACTGAATATTAAAGCCATTATTGATGCATTCTCTCTCTTCAATCGACCCGTGAGCCACACAGATCTGCTTACCCTGCTATTAAAGCGGGGATGGAGGTTAATTTCCTCACACTTAAAAAGATAAAGGCCACTCTATGGAGCGTTGTACAGCTTCCAGCTTCTGAATAAACGTGTCGTCTTTTATATACTGCCAGGATTAGCTTGAGGATCTGGGCCTGGAACTGAGTACAGAGGAGGCCTGTAGACTCAGAGGGGAGTGAAACACCGCCGGGGGGGGACTGGGGGAAAGAAGGCTTCAGTGAACCTGAGAAAAGCTCAGGGCGGCCTCGCCAATGTTGACTCGGAGTCTAAGGAATGTCGGGGCACCTGGCCCTCAGCTGATGCTGGAACTGGGCAGCTCACCAGTGCAGCTTGATATCAAACAGTCTGTGCTCCACACAAGAGGGGATCCACAAGGTGGCGATAGCCGCATTTATCATAATCAAATTAGGTGCGGGGAGGAACGAGGATGGCAACACTCAGACATTCATATTTTCAGAGGACAGGAACGGCGAGTCCATAGGCATCCAGCCATCGTCGCTGCGGCTGTTGTGAAAAGACCGCTATTCGACCCCCAGCTCTGGGCTCACATAGCACATGCGGCTGGCCAGGGTGTGGGTCCGGAGTTCAAACGGGGGGCCCGGGAAGGGCGAGTCCCCCCAAAGGGTTCGGTGCATGCTTGTGTCAGAACAAAAGCCTACTGTGTCGGCATGCGGAGGCCTCCTGCTGTACGGAGGCCTCCAGCTGTACGGAGGCCTGCTGCTGTACGGAGGCCTGCTGCTGTACGGAGGCCTCCTGCTGTACGGAGGCCTGCTGCTGTACGGAGGCCTCCTGCTGTACGGAGGCCTGCTGTTGTACGGAGGCCTGCTGTTGTACGGAGGCCTGCGCTGAGCAGCACAGCACTCTCCCTCAGCATGGATGGAGAGTCGCCCCGCTCTCTCTCAGCAC